TTGCTCACAGTGAAGCTCTAGGCCAGCACCAGGGCCATTACCAGTAAGCATTATAATGGTATGTTAATGGACTAAATATTGTCAACTGTAGTTTTGGGGCTCAAAGCAAGACAAAGAACCACTCATTACAATGGTGTCCACAGACCTCCAAAAGCTGGGTGGGAAGATCTCCACACACTCTGGGGCCGGAGTGACTGTGATGTGGGCTGGCCTGGGAGTGCTGAGTGAGCATCCAGACACTCACGAGTCTCCTCCTCCCTGCAGCTGCTGGTAGCCCATGTGAGGTTTACCATAGCCATCAACACTAAGGCCCGGGAACAGCTTATCTGCGAGTATGGCCTTTTTGACAAGGTGAGTGCCTGGAAGAGCTCTGCCTTCCTCCGTGTGTTGTCTGTTACCTTTATATGCATCCTGCCCAGTTCCAGTCCTTGAGCCATCTCCATACAACCCACAAACCTTCCCCCTTACAAGATACCTGTGACTCCCCCCCCCACCTGGCTATGCCCCTGCCATCCTGCCTGGTGCCCAACCCCTGAGCATCCAGGTCCTTGCTTTGCCAGCTCTTAGAAGCTGATAGGCTGCCTAGAAGCTGTGTTCTGCACAAAAGCCCGCTCTCTGCTGCAGCTATGCAGTACCCAGCGCACTGGACGGGCGTCCCCATGTGACCCCCTCATGGAAGGGGGAGCTTGGCCTACTCATCTCACTGCACCTCATAGGACACAGGCTGGCCCTCTCTGTGCCCGGCCACCCCAAGTTTCTCACAGATGAAGCTGGGAAGTTGGACAGCTGAGGGGGGAGAAGCAACCAAGCTTGGGCACTCTGCTCTCTCACCAGGCCAATGCCACTGGGGGTGGCGGGCATGTGCAGATGGTGCAGAGGGCTGTCCAGGACCTGACTTACTCCTCCCTGTGCTTCCCGGAGGCCATCAAGGCCAGGGGCATGGACAGCGCTGAGGACATCCCCTACTACTTCTACCGTGACGACGGACTCCTGGTGTGGGAGGCCATCCAGTCGTAAGTGAGGCCAGGTTCTGTGGGAAAGGAAACCCTGATGAAGAGCGGTGAGGTGGGCCTGCTTCTGGGTTGGGTGTTGATGGAGGGAAGGGGCAGAGGATGTCTAGAGTCAGTCATGAAGAAGTGACAGGCTTGCCAGAGGGACCTGCTGGACACCCACTGCTGCTGGCCCTCCTGGTCCAGGTTCACAACTGAGGTGGTGAGCATCTACTACGAGAATGACCAGGTGGTGGTGGAGGACCAGGAACTGCAGGACTTCGTGAAGGATGTTTATGTGTATGGCATGCGCGGCAGAAAAGCCTCAGGTGGGCCGCCATGATACTATGCTTCTGCAGCAGAGCCCAAGTCTCGAGAAATGGGAGGCAGGACATCCAAGGGTACTCACTCGACCAAATGCCTCCCTTAGCACCTGTCACCTCCCTTCTCCAGGAATCTTGTCTGGGTAGATCTTGGAAAGTGTGGGTGGGGGAATCAGGACAGAGGCTGAGCCAGGCGTCCCTCACAGGGATGGGCTCACGGTCTGTGGCTCCATCTTAGGCTTCCCCAAGTCCATCAAGAGCAGGGAGAAGTTGTCTGAGTACCTGACTGTGGTCATCTTCACAGCCTCGGCCCAGCATGCAGCTGTAAACTTCGGCCAGGTAGGCCTAGATAGCCGTCTGGGGTACCACTGTCTCAGGTACCCCACAGTGGGAACCATCCCTCATCCCCCTGGACTCCCTGACCTCCAGCTCCCACCCTACTGACCCACCCAACCCCATGCAGTCCCTGAGTTTGGAACCAGCAGTAGCAGGCATGAATTCTGCAGGCATGCCTAAGGCGCCCACCTGGCCTTGGACGGGGGGGGGGGGGGGGTCTGAGAAGGGAAAGGAGAGAACATTCCTGAGGGAGGCCGGGAGCCCTGGAAGGAAGGAAGAGGGGCAGGGGGGGGGAGGGGGGGAGGAGCACAGGAGGTGGTATGGTGGAAGGTGTGGCTTAAGGAACAGGAGAGGGGCCAAGGAAGGTGAGGTGGGCTCATCAAAGGGATGTGTGGGTGGTACCCCAGGGAAGGGTAGAGCCGGTTCCCCGTGCGGTGGGCAGTGGGCAGGTGCCGGCTCCTCTGGCATCCACACTGTTGGTGCTGCTCTCACAGTATGACTGGTGCTCCTGGATACCCAATGCTCCTCCAACTATGCGGGCCCCACCGCCCACGACCAAGGGTGTGGTGACCATCGAGCAGATCGTGGATACTCTGCCAGACCGTGGCCGCTCATGCTGGCATCTAGGTGCAGTGTGGGCATTGAGCCAGTTCCAAGAAAATGAGGTGAGACTAGACAACACTGCATGCAGTGGAGGTCACTGCAGTTTCAGCCATTTCGCCAGCCCAGGGGACGCAGGCTCTGGCTGGGCACCTGCAGCCAAGAATCTTGTCCTCTAAGGTGGAACTGCTGGGGGGGGGGAAGGGGACACCCCACCCCAGGTCCTCAGCCTGAGCCTGAGCCCGGGTGGGCTGGACAAGTCTTCAGAGAGGGGCGTGTGATGCCACCCTCTAAACCACCCCCAGTTTTTGATCTTCCATGTGGTTTCCTGGCTCCCTACAGGGAAAGTCAGCTCCCATGCCCCTTCCAGTACTCCCAGCTACGAAGGTCTTGGCAGACACAGCCCTGTGCAATGTTTCAGTGCTCCGTTGGCTGAGCCCCTTCGGCCTGCTGATATACTAGTTCTGTGCTCAGTATGACGTCTTCTCCTAGACTAACTTCTTGGTCAAAGGATGTCAAGGCTGACTTAACCTTCTGCAAACTAAACTCAAGATCTCCCGCCCCCTTTCCAGTCACTGAACACTTCACAGTGACTAGTGTAAGCAAGCAAGGAGCACATTACCCAGCAGGGTGTCCCCTGCACTCAGTCCCAACACCACTTCCTGACACCCAGGGCCTCTACCTATCTCAAGCCTTAAAAGATGGGCAAGACAAAGGACAGGCCAGCAGGACCCTGAGGCCACAGAACTTACAGAGCGGAGACCTTGCAGGCTCCCCTGTATCTTTCCTTGTCTTAAAAAGCACCTGACAATTAGGAGTAACTTCCTTTTAAAGCTCCAGCCCTGAGCCTCTCATAGGGAAAAAGAGGTGGCATACAAATTTGTATAACCTATGTTTTTTTTACTGACACACAGTATTTGCATATTTCTGATAGTGTGATGTGTGTATACATTGATATTGTTCAGTTATAGCATCTGACCTACCATTTCCTTGTGTAACATTCAGATCTTCTCATTTAAAAATATATACCACATTGTTAACTATTTACCCTGCCATGCTGCAGAATATTACCCTCCTTTGAATTCACTGATTTTGCCACTTTTCCTCCTCTCTGGTGACTTCTTTGAGATGATGCGGCAAGTCTTTCTTTTTTAGACTAGGTTTCATTGTGTAGCCCTGGCTGGCCTGGAACTCACAAGCTCTGCCTGCCTTTGCCTCCCAAATGCTGCTATTAAAGGTGCATGCCACTGCGTGTAGCGAGGTAGCAGTCTTTAATATCCCAGATATGGTATTTGCATCTGCTTCTTTTACTTAACACAATGGCCTCCAGGTTAATCTGTGTTCCCAAGACAGGATTTCAATCTGTATGGCCAAGAAGTGTTCATTGTGTGCATGTATGTACCAATCCCAGCAGGTGGCAAAGGTCAGAGTTGATGAGAGTTGAGTATATATCCCTCCTCCCAAAGGAAGCCTGTGAGTGGGACCAGGCCTACAAGTCTATACAGCACCATCGTAAACTGTCTCTCCATGTCTGCCCCTCAGCTGTTTCTGGGCATGTACCCTGAGGAGCATTTCATTGAGAAGCCAGTGAAGGAGGCCATGATCAGATTCCGCAAGAACCTGGAGGCCATCGTCAGTGTGATCGCTGAGCGCAATAAGAACAAAAAGCTCCCCTACTACTACCTGTCACCAGACAGGATTCCCAACAGTGTAGCCATCTAAGCCTGGCCCTCCTGGCCCAGCATCTCTCCAGGAAGGCCAGTGGCTCTGCCAGCCAGACCCCCAGCTTGCCTGGCAGGCTCTAGATGGACCTTCAGGCAGCTACTGCATCTTCCTTCCAAGCTAGCAGTGCAACGCCTGAGCCCGCTATTCTAGGATGGGGGACATGCTCCCATCTTTGGTGGAAGTATGTACACAGTACAGGGACCTCCCACCTGGAGCAGGGCTGTGCAGCTGTGACCCCCAGGCCAGCTCAGCACTTCTGCACTAAGTAGCAACAGTCCATCAGAGTGCCACCTGTCCTGGTTGGGTCAGAGTTACCTTGTTCTATTTATGCTTTGCCCAACTGCTTTCATGTAGTAGGTGCCTAAAGAAATCTCTTGAATGAAGGTTTTGTTATAAAATAAAATTTGTTTAAAACAGACATTTGTCTTTCTTTCCATGTCCAAGTCACATCATTTAGCACAGCATTTCCCAGTTCCATTCATTTGCCTGCAAATATATATGTATATATGTGTGTGTATATGTATATATGTGTGTGTGAGTGTGTGTATATGTATATATACATATGTGTGTATGTATGTACATATATATGTATACACATACATATACATATTTTTTTCACTATCATTCACCAGCTAAAGGACATCTAGGCTGTTTCCTAGATTCTGCTGTTGCCTTCATGAATGAATAGCCTTCCCCTAAAGGAGGGAGCCCTGGAAGGACAGGGTACCCACCTTGTCTACTCCTGTGCCCTGGGCTAGCACAGGTACCATTGTCTGCATCCCTCCTTTTCCTTCCCACAGGGCAACTGGCTGATGCTTGTCTCTTGATGCAGGTTTGTAATGACTAAATGAAGTAACTCAGACACTGAAACATATGTCACATGGATCTTAGTATCAATTCAAATCCCCCTCTACTCCCCAGCCCTCTCACCTCCGGACCCCCTTCCCCCGTGGCCTCACTATTATTTACTGATATGGGGCTGGAAAGGGTATTCCAACTTCCGATTGGAAAGACTCTCATCACAAAATTTCTTTGTAAAGAAAAGCTTTATTGCTACCTTTAGATGCCCCGGGTATAGCACAAACAAATCCCCTGTACATAGAATTATTCAAGCAGTAATACTGAGGAACAGTGAACATACACAAAAGGGTTAAAAAATTAGACATTCAGATTACTAGAAATTTTCTAAGAAAAGTTTAAAATGTGAAGTGCTTTTTAGAAACTACACTACACACACCAGTGTAAATTTGGTTTTTATTAACAATCTTAAACATTGCATCTAAATGTGTGCCAATCACACATCTTTGTCAATCACTTCCAACGCAAAGACAAACGCCTTCCTCTCCCTATGCTTTGGGCTTTTCTTAGGCTACAGATAAAACCTGTATTATCTCAAACCAGATTTGGTGAGGTGGTATTTCAAACATGCAAATGCATCTAATCACACCCACAAAATTATAGCTCTTCACCCTGCCCATCCAGCCTTTGGCCGCCTGTCCAAGGCCTTGAACTGTCCCTCCTGCACTGCCTGAGGTCGGCACATCTGAGTCCAGGTGGAGACACCCATAGGTTTGGAAACTAGGCCTGCATGACTAAAGAGTGTGCTAAAGCCAGAAAGGAGAAACAGAGAGACCTGGAGAAAGATGAGAAAGTCACAACATTTCCAGGAAATCCTTGCAATGAACTTGGGCACAACTCCCACCCACTTACTTGTGGTAACTAAAGTCAAAGGTGTGTGCCAATGGGTCCATGACACATGGAGGTAAAGGTTAGGTTAGAGAGAGGGCTAACAGTGACACCCTGAGACTACCTCCTTCTCCTTCATTTGACCCACAAGCCCTCCTGTCCCCGAGGCTCATCCTAGATCTCCACTATATTCAGGCTCAAATTGAGGAGAAATGGGTAGACAGATAAACCCTGCAAAAATACTCAGAAAGAAACCAGACAAGGAATAGGGGAGTCTGGGCAGACCCAGAGCTTTGCCGGTCTCCTGCATTGAGTTGCCAATAGGTACAGCTATTTGCTACATCAGAGCACCAATAGGAAAAATGAGCAAAGGGTAGCTGGGAAGGGAAGAAGGACGAAGACAGACTTCATCAGAGTAGCCAGAGAAGAGATGGAGTTAGGCCTTCCTGAAATGAAGAGAACACCATGAAAGCCATGGTTCTAAAGTAACTTATCTATGTGTGGGATAAGGCCCCTGGGGCAGCTGTGCAGGGGCTACCCCCAATGTCCTCTCTACAGAAGCCTCAGTGGCTGGTTGAGACTTTATACTTCAAACAATCTCCATGTTCATGTGATTACCCACCCACTGTTGGGTGAGCATTGCTTCAGGGACAGATGGACAGGATTAGGGACTCAGCTGCAGCAGCTGCTGAATGGTATCAGCAGGGCTCCCTAATGGGCGTCTGTAGCTTCCTGGTGTCCCCAGACTGAGAAGCTATGTGAGTAATTGCACTTTGGGGCATAGTGAGCACAGGGAGGCTTGTGTGGTCTGGGAAAGAGAGCAAGCTAACCTAAGGGGTGGGCTGATTGGATAATGGCTGAAATCCCTGGCAAAACAGCTCTATGACTGAACCCCATGACCCCAGAGAGTAGATAAGGGGTAACAGAACAAAGCCTGCCCCTGCAAACCAAGCACAGGGCTTCTACTGGGAACCACAAAAGATCCATCGTTGGCATCTTCAGCCTCTGAAGAAGTCAGGAAAAGCAGCAAAGCCCAGGCCCCCCCAGACACCACCCCTCTCACCTCAGGAGGCTCTGAAGACCCTGTCGCCAACAGCGGCCACTTGGGAGAGTACACTTCTGGGATCCCTCTTGTCACATTGTGAGTTGACTATTGCTGTGACAATGGCCTTCAAGAAAAAATATTCAGCAGACTTTCTAAAGGGACAAAGGCCATTTAATGGTAGTGATTTGGCTTTGTCTGTCTTGTGAAAAATGTTGCAGGAGTAACCCCGATGACAGAATGGATCACATGTGGCCCTAAGGACCCTAAATGATCCTGTCAGGTCTGGTTAAGGCGATGAATGGGTGTGGCCCAGCCCATGATGCAATGGCCTGTGACAGTTGACTGCTCATGCCAAGACCTCATCCCAGAGCTGACTCCAAAGAACTTGGTCAGCTCTGTGGGAAGCTGAGGTGGCTCACAGGGGTGTTCATAGTGTGTGTCCACTCCATCTGGAGACTTCTGTCAGTCAAAGGGGGATTCTCTAAATACTCAGCTTGACTCACATCCATTAGATCTCAAAATCCTTTCATTTCAACATTGACAAAACAGAAATGTATGAGTGGGCTTGTAAGCTAGGGTTTGTCCGCAAACAGGCTCAAAATCAAAGAGTATGTCCTTAACATCCATTACCTCCCATGGACACTGTTAAGGAGAAATATCTCAGACTTGTCTGTCCTGCTTGAAGTCGCGAGTCTTTTCTGGACATGGAAAGACATCCTACTATTCATAATATATAAGGCAGAAATGGTTTCAAATCAATTCTGATGCAAAGAGATAAGAGGGGCAATAAAGAGAACATGTCTAAATGTGACATTCTTTTAAGTGCCACGCCCACTAGACACAGGAATTACAAAATAAAAACTTTCATAAAGTGCTGTTTGCTCAGTGAGTCACACACCAACAGACACAGGCCCCAAGGCCTTACCCACCCCAGAGCAATGTGGCAGCATCAGCCGAGCGAGGCAGGGGTTTGCGTGTAGGCACTGTTCCCTCCGTCTCCTAGCTCGTGTCGGTGAGCAGGGAGCCCTCCCACCTGCAGCAGCCCTCCCTGACCCTCACTGCTCTGTCCTCTGGGGATTCTCTCACCACCAGTCTCCCCCATGCTGCTCCGCCCCCTGGTTTAGCTTTTTACTTCCTTATTCTGCTCAAGACCAGGCCCGGAACTCAGCCGGCTCCTCTTGTGGTTACGTGGTATCTTCCCACCTTCCCAACCCACAGAAGAACCTGGCAGAATGGGACCAGTGGCATCTGCCCCACAGGAACTCTAGGATTTTCACACCAAGGAAGGTTGAGAAAAACAGAGGCCACTATCAATAGTCACCTGCCCAGTCTATGCTATTAAATGACAGAAGGAAGGAACACAATTGGCAGTAAACAAATTCCTTCGGCTCTTTGTGGACATCAGGGCACTGACACCCTCCACCCTGTCAGACGTTAATGATCTCTGCTCCAGTGTCTTCAGGCTCTGTGCAAGAAGAATTTGTGGTGGAATGACACATTCCATGTCCTTCTTTATTGTCCAGGGTGGGCTCTGTTAGTGCAGACTTCTCAAAAATATTCTTTTTACTTGTTTCTGGACAGTTTTGAACATAGATCACTCTATTATAAGCCTTGAGTCTTTTCCATAATTGTAGGTATACCTTGCATTGAACATACATAAAAAGAAGTCCTCCAGTGAAACCAATGGCCACAACTACCAGTTTAGTCCAGAAAGGCCACTCTAGGATTCCTGCAAGGGAGGAAGACCCAGTTAGCCTGTCAGGAGCCTCATTTAAGATGAAACTAGGACCCGGTTTCTGAACTCCACAATCACTAAATAGATTTGTTACTCATCAAATCCCCCTCCCCAAAGGCAGCGTGAAGAGCTCTTGCTGTGGGTTACCCGGTCTCTCAGGGGTCTCAAGCCTCATCTCTTGTGATGGACTTTGAAGACACAGAGAAATCTCCTTGGTATTCACCCTTTACAAACTCAGCGTCTCAGGCCCTGGGACCTGTGAACAACACTCACCTCATGGCCCAGGCACTCACCTGTCACCTGACCCTGCTTGATCTCCTCTGCAGTACGGTCAATGAGCACATACAAGGACCAGACCACACAGGTGATAGCAATGACATGGAATGTTACTGAGCACATGATCTTCCTTCGCTCACTGGAAGTCATCTGTAACTTCTCCCACTGGAAAAGACAACACAGGGAGCATGAGGCCCAGACTCAGAGCAAAGGACCACAATGGGCGTGGCTGTTGCTCATGGCTATGATTGGCTTTCCTTCCCCCCCACTCCCAGGCCAGATCCACTTCCCCAAACACCCAGAACTACTTTAAACCACTTGGCTTCAACGAGGTGGCAGACACAGCCAGCGTTCTGTGCAATGGAGAGAAGCTAGGCCTGAGAGGAGCAGTGACTTCCCACTCGCTAGTCCCTGATTCTTGTAAGCAGATAATGAAGAGCTTGACAAAGGAACATGTCAGCTCAGACCCAGCTGCTACGTGGTAGTAACTGACATGGAGGGATGGAAGAAGAGTGATAACAGCACAACACACTAGGAATGAGTCGAGTCTATGTTGTGAAGGGGAGGCAGAAGGCTCTCACTCTTTGGTCCTCTGCTACTTTGGCAGCAACAGCTTGAAATCGATGCTTAAGAGTTCCTGGTTCAAGCAGCCTCTGCCAGGGCCATCCCTCTAGGAGCTCATTAACTTATTCCAAACAGACTGGCCTTGTCATTTACTGGTTCCCAAATCAGAAGAAAAGACATAAAAGTAGAGAGAAAGAACAAAGTGTAAACATTCTGCATATCTTCTGCTAATCATGGCCACAGACCATCGGGCTTCATTGATGATCTATCCTACCTAAGTAGTACACATGACAGATTCACACAGAGTAGGTTTCAGGAGACTCTGACCAGGCAAAACCTTTCCTTAAGCAGTTTGCACCTACCTTCTCTAATACCCAGCTACTTTCTGTTGGGGTGTAAGAAGCAAGATCCCACCTGAAGCACAGTGAGCATCTTGGTGTCTCCTGTGCCTCGATTCCCTCCTTCCTGAAATGTCTACAGCTCAACCCTTCCACACTCCTGAAGTGGATACTTTTCTCCAGAGGCGACCCTACCCCTGTAGAGCCCTTTCACTTTGCCTGCCATTCTCACACATCTAGAACTCCTTCAAAGCCACAGCATTTACAATATCCCTCCCCGCATGAGACTGGCCATGAAGATCACTTCTGTCTCGGTGTTCTCTACTGCCAAACAATGTAGCACTTCACTGGCCCCATGATATGTGAGTGCTCTAGCAACTTATATTTTAGTGATTTTGGCACAGTGGATCCCCCTCTTCTACTTCCAAATGTGATGTTTTGTGCTAGGCACAGAAAGAGATATATGAAACTAAGGAGCATGAAGGGAGCAGTAACTTGGGGTGCCTCTTCATCCACAAACCCTTTCACCCAGGAAAGACATACACAAACAAACTGGCTGTGCAAAACTGGGCTGAGTGTTGAGGAGTGTGTGTCCTAACTAGAGACATACAACAGTTAATACATAAGAAGCTAAAGGCTGAGCATGCTGTCACAGATAGTTGGTGGTCAAAGGGGAGAAGAGCGGTAGTCAAACAGTCTCAATGTGAAGGAAAGAGAATTGCTATGAATGAATGGAGGTCAGAGCTGAGACATCACCACCAGAAACAATGATCTACAATGTGAACTCCAGCCCGACTTTTAAAGCAGTAAACTCGGGTGGCTAGGGCAGAGTCTGCAAGGGTGACTCTTCCAGGGTACCCCCTTCGCACGTACTTTCCTCAAAGGTTTCAGCTTGGTCTCCATGATGAACTCGTACTTGCAGAGCTCACAGCAGCGTGTGTCAGAACTCTTGATCCACTGCTGCAGGCAAGCCTGATGTACAAAATGGAGGCTTCCTGTACAGTGACAGGGGGTGATCAGAGGGCTCTCATCATCTCCTTCACAGTGGCAGATCCTATGGTGGAAGACAAACTAGTCAATGAAAGAAGGGTCTAGAACAAGGAAGATGACACTATCAGAAGGCCAATTCCTCATCAAACAAAGTTCAGAAATAAACACCGTAAGAGTGACTGTCAGCAGAGGGACACCCAGGCTCCAGTGAGAACAGTCACGATTGGCTCAAGGTCAGCTTACCATAGCAGCAGCGTCAGGATGGCATTTGGAATGGAAAGGGAAGACTGATACAAGAAATGACAAAACAGGCATTTTTAGGGAAGACTTCAAACTTGAAGTTTAGGTGACAATAAAGACATCTTCCAGAACATAAGACCCCAGAGGAAAAACAAAACCTAAATCAGAACTCTCATCTCCAAAAGAGCACAGTGGCTTCCAAGGCTTGAAGCCACCCCCTCACCATCACATCAACAATAGCTCTGCCTCCCGCCCTCTCTTGGAGATCCGACAGAGAGATCACAGTACTTTGTTTGTCTCCACTTAAAGCTCCAAATGGTCCTGCAACTCCATTTCTCTTGGGGATTACTCACCACATTAAGTAAGAATTATTAAAGCAGTCATTATTTCCAAAGAAACATCTTGGATTCAACTACTAACCTCCATGAAGTTAGGCTTTTGAGAAGGTTTTCCAACAGCTGGATCACAGGAAGAAACAGCTGTTCTGAAGAGGGCCTGGCCCATGCCTACTTAGATTGCTGTGTTATTTGTTTCAGAAACAGGTTTTCTGATGCAACCATAAGAAATGTTAACAGTTGACACAGAGAAGGGGAGACTAGGGGAGGCACAGGGGTGGAAACAGATGAGCTCAGATTGGGCCCGGCAAGGATGCTGTTCAAGGAAGATAAAGGTAGGAAGTAAGAGTTAGGACCTGGGCAAGGGTAGGACACATTGAGGTGAGGAAGGAAAGGAGGGAGGAAGCAAGAGAGAGAGGGAGGGTGCTATGTGGGCAGACTACTGGAGACAAGCCACTCCCATACTCACAGGGGCAAGCTAGAAAGCTGGAGGACTACTTCCCTTCTTCCCACATATTTAGGCAAAGCCTACTTATTTTGCTGAGAGGAGTCAGTTTAATATGTGCACTTTCTGCATCTTATGAAATTAGCTTCCAAATGGTGTCACTGTTTGGAAAACACAATTGCTCTACTTCACTTTGCAGAAACTTCACATATTAAATCAAGGTAAGGTTATGAAGGTGTTAGCAGAGACAGCCGGACGGTGGCTCCTGGCAAACCAACCTGCAGGCATCCCCTGAGGTGGACACAGGAGAGATGGGGGTGCATTTTTCAGAGAGCGGAGAAGGACAATCCAGGTCACTGTCCTTCTCTACTGAGCAGAGGGGTGCACGCAGGACTCTGCTCTTCAGTTTGGCAGATGATGTATCCTCAAAGACGTCGTCATCTCCCATTTCATCAGAACAGAAGTCCGTGCTCCCTGCCAGCCAGCTGGAGGACTTGGCAGTGTGCAAATGGCTGGCATGGCTCTCCAGCTCATGGAACCTATGCAGGCTACTGGCACTCGAGCCACGAGAGAGTGAGAACAGGTACCGGAGCAGTCTCTGGCTTCTTAACCTGGCCTCACCATCAGCTTTCTCCTCCAAAAGTGGGATGCGTACACTCCCCTTGCCAACTTCCCTCTTTGAGGCAGCTGAATGGTTGGTAGAAAGGGATACGACATGGGAGTGTTTGGAATGGTTGAGGGGTGGGCAGTGCTCTGCTCTTTTTGCTTTATGACGGAGCCTGTTCTTTTGCAGGGCTGGACCTTGAGGAAGCACCAGTTTCCCTTCAGAACAAGTTCTTTCCATATAGTCAAAGCTTTCCAAAGTACCCTGGGTCTTCTCACCCACATCACTTAGTGACTTGGAGATTCTGAGGGCTCTTCTGGCCTTTGTATTCTTAGCAGGCCTCAAAGCTTGGTCCCAGGCTGAACCAAAGGGATTTCTCTTTGATGCCTGTAATGTGTCTTTACAGATAACTGTCACAGTGAGCCCTTGTGTCAGAGAACTCTGGCATGGAGCTTTCAAGACAACAGCAGACTGCACGGGACTGTAGTGACAACACTCAGAAAACACTGCACTGGAACTGCATGCAGAACAGTGGAATAAAGCACAGAAAGGAAAAACAAGTTTAAAGAGAGCAGACATCAAAGTGGGGAAATGAGACTGTGTTGTAACGTGGCGAGCAAACAGCACATAAACCCGGGCTGTTTAGAGCAAAGGTGGAATGATGGAGCAAATGGGAAACAGAATACTGGGCTGACACAGGCCACGGGAGCATGTGAAGCAGAGTGTTACCTGCAGATGTCCTGGTTGGATGGTGTGGCAGAAGTGCGAGAGAAGGAGGACACTGGAGCCGTCGTGGATGGAGGACTACTCCCAGCCTGTAATGACACACCTTCAGTCAGTGTTTGCGAAGAAGCCAAGGGATTCAGACACACAGTCTCCTTGGGAATGGCAGCAGGTGGAAAATCAAATGTCTGCTGTTTCCTACTGCTCTTAGAAGAATATGTATTAGGTTCTTTGATGTGTTCTATTGAGACAGGGTCTCATTTTAAAGCTTTGGCTGGCCTGAAACTTACTACATAGGTCAGGGTGCCCTGAATGCAGAGATTAGTTTGCCTCTGCCTCTGCCTCTGCCTCTGCCTCCTGAGGATTGGATTAAAGGTGTGCACCACTATGCCTGGCTGGAGCATGCATCAGATCCATACAAGTTCAGGCAGTATTCTAACGGTATTTTTTGCATCTGTGAAGAAAAACATAGCTAAAAGATATTTTAAGAGTATAGGCTATCACTTCTAAGCTCTGAAGATTTGGCAGCTTTTCCCCTAAATATGCATGCATATCTGTATCTGTACCTGTACCTGTATTTATCTTCCTATGCAAGTCAGCAGACCAAGACCTATAAAGCACTCTACAAATGTGAAAGAAAACAAGCCAGGTGCCTTCTTGTGGTTTTCTACCCAACCATCTCACATACAGAACTGGGGAGCTGAGCCTTAAAATCTTACTGCCCTATTACAACTCTGGGAAAGGATCCTAGTTAAAGAGGAGATGGAGACACAGTGCTTCCTAAGAACCATAATCTTAGAATTGAGAATTAAGAACCATACTCAAGAAATTTAAACCTGAAAGGATGTGTAACGAGCTCACAGGACACAACAGGGCTATAAACAGTGGTGAACCAACCAGAAGGAGGGAAAGACATGGACAGAGAGGATTTATCACAGCGAGAAGTGGATGGAGAGGACAGGGACCAGAAAAGAGTTGAGCTCAGGATGTAAAGCCACTGCCTAGGTATCATCAAGACTCGCCGTCTAGGCTTCAGACCCTGGCACCTATCACACATCTTTCTTTTATTGACAATGAGGGCACATGCTTGGTATGAAACCTGTGAGGTTTTATTGTTGTACAAATCCCACAGTATACTTCCACAGTCCTAGATGGCACAAACTAGTTACTCCACATGGCCACCTGAACTGATCCAGAGCTGGAGTCAATATGAGATGGGTGAGGCTGGTGCTGGGGTGATGTAGTGTACTGATTCATAGCAACATAGTATTTGCCTTCCTATTATAGCCCAACCCTCAAATGCAGGGTCTCCCATGCTTCAATCTCCCAAATGCTGGGATTACACGGGTGTGTTGCCATGCCTAGATTACAGCAGGAGAGTGTGCTCTAAACTAATGATAACTATAGTGTGGAGACCACAACTGTTGACTATTGTGACCAGTTTATGAGCTGTAGTTCTGTGGGACCCACAGCTCAGAGGGTTTGCATGAGCATAAGCATGAACACATGCACTGCATTTAGGCAGGTGCAGTGTTACTAGAAGAATTTACCAGCTATGTTATGACTCATGGGGCCACTGTCATCACTATTCAGACCACTTCTGCTCAAAACATCATTATGTGCCACACATATTGTGTGGCCACCATTGTGTGGCACCTCCTTAGAACAGGGTGCCTGAGTGACCATTTGCTCTGTGAAACACAACAAGCAGCAGGAAAACAATCATGTTCCTTAGGTAAGTTCCCAACACAGTTCAGCTTACCTAGAGCCCACCCTGTAATTGCAGGCACCTCCACCCTGCCCCAAAAGTGAGAACTAACCTCACTTTTTAAGTGTACCCTAGGTGGGTACTCTCATCTTGACATTCCATCAATGAGGCATCAGCCATCCAAACAGCACTACCACCTCCCAGAACTGGAACTCTATCCCCTTCTGCCAATATTCAAGCATACCAGCCTGGAAAGAATATTGCAGCGCAAAATTAAACATCTCTAATCAACTCAATCTTAAGTAATTTGACCCAGAAGATACATGTTAACATGGTGTATGTATATAGCGAAGTCACCGGTATCATTGAGCTAGCACATCTGAGTCATCAACCAATCTAAACTGTCCAACTGAATGTACATATATATGGACAATTGACATTGCTCTAGTTAGTTTCTTTGTCAGTTTGACACAATCTAGAGTGACCTGGGGAAATGTTTTTATTAGATTGGCCTGTAGGTGAGTTTGTGGGAACATTTTCTTAATTAATGAGTGATAAAGGCTGAGACTACTGTGGGTAGTGCCACCCCTGGGCAAGGCAGCCTTGGGTTGTATAAGAGAGTAGGCTGAGCAAGCCATGGAGAACAAGCCAGGAAGCAATGAGTTTGCTTGAGTTCCTGCTCCAGGTTTCTGCTCTGCTTCAGTTCCTGCTTATGATGAACAACAAACTGCAAGATGAGAAACCCTTTCCTCTCCCAAGTTGCATGGTAATAGTCTTTCTCACAGCAATAGGAAGCAAAGTAAGACAGGAATTGGTACTAGGATCACAGGGTATTGGTGTGACAAATCCGTCTGAGGGAGGATTGCGAAAATGTTTGGAACTTTGGGATAGAGAAGCCATTAAGTACTCAGAAGTTAATGAGTTGCTGTGGAAACTTAGAAGGTAGAACCATTCATAGGATACTTAGAGTTAAGAAGCTGTGTTTTCTGGTTAGTCATGCCTGAAGAATCAGCTGTGATCAGCAAGAGACCAGAACCACTGAAGTGAAGTTTTTGTTTTACTGAGACAATGATGGGGCTGAAAAACCAGTAAGGACAAAAAGAAACCAGAATCATTGAGGAGGTAAAAGTTTCTAGGAAGCATTCCCTCATGATGAACAAACAGTTGTGACCCAGAGATGGCCACAGCTGCAGACTAGTAGCTGAACTTAATGTGTAAGAGTCTTCCAGATGGTACAGATTTTGATGGTAAGAAAGCTGCAAGGTTGAAGGGGCTATGGTCAGCATCTGGCTTGGCACTGCATAAATCTAGAGAAGCCACTGATGAAAGTGCAGCCTTAGCTGCAGGGGAGACTCCAGGATTAAAGGGGCCATGAAGAAAAGCTTCAGTTTGGCACCATGTGGCAGGGTCAAGGTCCTGAAGAGAGGTCAGGAGGCCTCTGGTGAAGATGCAGCCATGGAGATCACCGCATTGGAGATGCCAGGACTGTAGAATGACTAACAAGGACAGCAGCAGGTGAAAGCTTATGAGACAAGCTACATGCACTGATGATGTCAGAGACAGAGAAGTAGAGCAGCCCCAAGCCCTTTGGTCCCCAAAAGATTGTGAGTTCCAGATGTCAGACGTTGGGCTACTTATACGTCTGCACTTGGGTCTTGCTTCAATGGGTATTTTAAGAAGACTTTGGATATTTTAAAGAGACTGAATTTTTAATGTGTTTGAATTTTTAAAGACATGAAACTTTTACAGCTTATATTGTGATAGTAGCATTATGTATCTTGGGGATAAAAAAGCAAGGAAAGGTTATGGCTAAATAGTAATGCATTTGTGTATCAAGTTAACAAGGGGTCAATTGTGCCTGTTAATTTTTTGTCATCTTGACACAAGCTAGAGTTATCTGAGAAGAAGGAATGCTAATTGAGAAGATGCCTTCCTCAGATTAGCCTGTAAGCAAGTCTGGGGGTGGGGCATTTTCTTGATTAATGATTGCTATAGGAGGTTCCAGAACACTATGAGAAGAGCCATCCCTGGGCACCATCTTTCTCTTTTCCCAGCATCTTCAATCCATGGAAGCCACCAAAGGCCCCATCCACCTCTTGGGAGATCCTCCTGTCGTGAATTAAGCACACAAGGTCTCTGGTACCAAAGCTTTACTGTCAATTACACAGGGAGGCAGACTGAAAACTATTTTAAAATGCCCACACTCCCACAATCACTGGTATTCTCTGCTTTCTAGTCCCTATAACATTTTGAGACTGAAAACCTTCATGAGCCAGCTCTGTGCAGCTGCCACAGGAAAAGCCAAAAATATATCATGAAGGTACAGTACATAAAAGAGAAATAAGTCATCACCCCACCCCCTTGAAAACTTGGCAGAATGTCTATGTGTAACCATTCCCTCAATGCTAAGCAGCAACCTCTTCTGTGTTGTGGGTCAAACTCAGTTGGTGGCACTGATGTATGGAAGAAAGCCTCCACCCCACAAGGGATGGGAGACAGAGGGAATTACCTAGTTGATTCTTCCTGTTATCTTAAGAAGATAGGACCCTCATGGAACCAAATTCACTTGCTGGTTGTGAAAGGACTGTATTGTGGAAGGGATGAGGTCTAATCTGGAAAATTGTACCCAACCAGGACCAGTGTCCTGGGAAGAGATGGGTTTCATTCAGCTGAAGTCAAGAGAAAATACCTGTCACTCTCCTCTCAGCTCCAAATAATGCACGTCAAAAGGGTACAATGGGGAATGACCACATCTATGCATATACAGAGTAAGGGCATGAGGCACAGCTCGGAGACAGGACAGTAAGCCTGATAGCAAACAAAGCTTCAATCATAGAGGCTTTGTTTATCAGAATGCCTTTTAATTTGTGTTTCCTTCTTAGGAAGTTGCTAAAGGTCACTGTCCTCCCACTCCAAACTAAAAGGTAGTGATTTGTTGCTAACCACCAGCTCAGCAGCCCTGACTTCATAAGGCAGACCCAGCCTCACTGGGTGTCTATAGTCACTGAGATTATGTCTCAGCAAACTTTCAGTTTAGTGAAATTACTCATGAAAGCCAATGCTTCACTGTCAGAGGACCCTTTCTATAAATAAATACCCGGTTGTATCCAACCTAAACAGTGAGCTACAATTAAAGAAGAGGCCACTCTGTGTCTGCCTGATACATACATCATGGCTCTTGCTGGAAGGCTGTGCCAAGAACCAGCCTGCACAAGAGCAATGAAATAGTCTGTCCACTAAAAAGTGAATAGATACAATATAGAATTCATGGGGGAGAATGCATGATAAAGAACTACGGAATACAAAAGTATTTCCATTCAAATGACTCAGTGCTGCCTAGCAAGTGGCATTAACACTGCAGCCTCTTCTTTCCTGGCCTGCTGG